GAGGGGGGAGGAGGGGGAGGAGCTCCTGTGGCCCCGCCCAGGCCGCCCCCTTCCCTGCCCCCTCCAGTCCTCCCCTGGTACCTTACCGTGCTGAAGTTGGGAAAGAGGCTGGGCGGGGCGGTGCCATGGAGGTGGAAGGCCAGCAAGTGCTTGACGTCCAGTGAGAGCTGCAGAGGCCAGGCAGGCGGGGCCAGGGGGGCCAGCAGCGGGCTGGGGGCGCTGGAGGCCAGGCCTGCTGCAGGAGGAAGAAGGCCAGGGTTGGGAGGGGGCCGGGCGCAGCCGGACCCAAGGCTGAGGCTTGCAGAGTCGCCCTCTTTATAAGGCAGCGCCCACCATGCCCAGGGTGGCGACAGGCTGGTCCAGGCTCCTAGCCCCAGAAGAAGTCCCTCCTGGGTGGACAGAGGCAGCCTGATGGCAGGGAGGGGACGGAGGAGTCAGGGCTGGGCCCCGACACATCCACCATGGAAACCACGTGACGTGCCACATGTCCACTTTATTGCAAGTTAAATACAAACTCAGGGGCTCCAGGAAGCCCAGCCCTTTCCCTGTCACTCTATTGTCCCCTCACTCCCTGTAGATCCCCAATTATTTGTAGGAAGGGCTGATATAAGAGGGTCAGGCTGGCTTTGAATTCACTATGTACCCCGCCTGGCCTAGAATTCATGGCAATCCTCCTGCCTCAGCCTCCTGAGTGCTGGGATGACAGGTGTGCACCACCACATCTGTCTCAACATTGGGGTTTTGCAGTCTTTGGTCTCAAGGGTCAGAGGTGAGGGGAAGGGAGGCCTAGGAACTTGAACAAGCAGACTTGGAGGAAGAAAAAGTATCAGAAATCAATCCAGTCCATTTGGGACTTTTTTGGACCCTGTCATTGCAAAACCAAAAGAAGGCCTTTGGTCTCTGCCCAGCCTTGGGGCAGTCTGCAGGTGGCAAAGGGAGGCACCAGCCCTCCCTGGACTTTCAACTGGTGCACAGAGGTCAAAGACAAGCAGGTGACCCCCGTCCAGGCCAAGGTGCAAGGAGAGCTAGGAAAGTGGAGCACAGAGTCTTTGTCCCTCCGTCCCTCAGACCAGTCTTCTTCCTGGAGCTTTTGTACAGCCAACGTGGGCGGGGTCCAGGGGGAGACAGGACGCGAACTGTCACCACTCAGCAAAGGACAGGGGCATTGGGTGGCCCAGACGTTAGCAGCGCTACTGTTGGTGCCCGGGGCTGGGGACAGGGAGCCAGCAGTGGGCAGGAGCCCCTGGCCCAGGTTGTGCTGAGTCCTTGGGGTGGCCTTGGCTCCAGCAGCCCCTCTGCGATCCTGGCCACATGGCCTTCAGGACCCCACGCACAGCTGGCATTGGCACCGCACTTTGCACAGGAGCCCAGCGCCCTGGACAGCACCAGGGCAAGCATGGCCAACTCAGCGAAGAGGCCATGCAGCTCGGAGCACGAATGGCAGGCGTGCACATGGAGCCCACAGGCCTGGAGGGTGTCAGGCCCCTTCGTGTGCAGGGGCCCTCGCGTGCGCATCATGGCAGGTGGTGTGGGTCGTGCAGCCAGGCAGCCCCCTCCCTCCCTGACACCACAGCTGCAGCAGGGCCAGGCCGGGCTCCTCTGGCTGCAGTGAGCTTGCGCACCAAGAGCAGCACGTCCAGCAGCAGGTGCGTGAAGGGCCTGAAGGTGAACTGGCGCAGCGCCAGGGCATGCAGTGCGGGCGAGGCTAGCGCTGTGGCCTCCAGGGTGGGCACGAGAGACACCCAGGGCATGGGCCTTGGCCCAGCCACATCCACAGCAGTCAGGTCCAGCACCACCCAGAGCTCAGGGTCCATGTGGGCACCAGAACTGCCATGCAGATGGAAGAGAGCGTCCAGCATGCTCTCCTCTCCCTGAGGTAAGCAGGGGCCTCGGCATCTGGCCAGCCATGAGCAGGGAGCAGGAGGTCTGGAGCCGCAGGCCCATGCTGCCAGGCCATCCCGCAAGAGGCTGGAACCAGGCCTGTGCGCTTTGGCACTGCGACACTGGAGCCTGCAGGACCTGTGGAGTATCCCACAGTGCCCTGGCCCTTCTGTAGCTCTGTGCTCCCCAGGAAGGTGGTGGCAGCCGGGCCAGCACTCGGGGACACAGCTGTGGAAAACAGGTCCTCATCTTATCTGCCAAGAGCCCCAGGTCGGGGGCACCTTCGGGCACGGGCAGCCTCTGTGGGCAGACACTGGCGCTGGCCGCCTGCACAGCTAGGACCGAAGGGCAGGACGGTCGGGCCTCTCCCCAGGCCGGCACAGGGCGGCCGCGGGGTCCGAGCTGGCTGTGCCACCTTGGGCAGTCGCTTGGCAGCTCCAAATGTCAGTTTTCTGAGACCTGCGGTCAGCTCACACCTGCCCTTGCTCTTCACAAAGAGCTGTTGCATGTTACAGCTCATGACAAAAACCTTACATTAACTTTAGTTAATTTGCAATTTAATTTTAATTTAATTAATTGCGAATTTTAAAAATATTTTAAAATTTAATTGATTGCAAATTAATTTTCACAATTGCTCTTCTACATGGAAAAGCACTTCATGATCCACTGAGTGGTCCAAGAAGGCTGGTTTTCCTGCAGCCCAGCCCCGTCTACCTCCTCTAGGCTCTTGCTCCCATCCGGCTTAGGATGGACTGATGGACGTGGCCCTGGGCAGGGACAGGCCCCGCTGGGTGCTGCAGTCACCTCTAGTGGAAGGGCTCAGCCTCCATCCCGCATGCCGCCTCTGGGGGCTGCTCAGTTGGGCACACGCTGGAGGGCTCAGGGTTGGGGAAACTGGCAAGCCCAGGCCACCGCACCAGCCAAAGAACCCTGCAAGGGCAGAGGCCCTCGCTCTTCAGTGGAGGCCACAAGCCCAGACCTCTCTGTCATCTCCTGAATTTCCTAAATTGGAAACTATTTCAGTCTTTCACAAACGTAGTAAAAAACCAACAAGGCCTACCTAAGGGCCAGTCGAGCCCCCGGCACCTGTCTGCAGGCCCTGCCACAGGTAGTACAGAGTGCCCGGGTGCCCACAGTCCAGGCACTGGTGTCTCCCTGCAGCAGGCCCAGCACCGGGCACATAGGCGGCCGTCAGCCAGGTCCCACAGGCGAGAGGGCTGCTGCTGGGAGGCTCCGTGTCCTCCGCCTGGCGCCTGTACTCCTGGCGGCCACCCACCTGCACATCCCTCACACTCCTGGGGCAGCAGTGACTGTCATGCTCGGTGCCCAGCAGCGCCTGGCAAGGTGAGCCTCTGCAGCTCGAGCACGGTGGGCAGCAGTTGTCTGGCAAGGCCTTGGCCATGCAGTGTACGGTGGTCAGCACAGCCACCTTGTCCGGGTCCCTCCAGCTTGGCGCCCCAGTGGCAGGCGCCAGGGTCCTCCGCCATGGGTTGGCCCCGACTGACAAGCAGAGCGTGTGGTGGGCACTGGGGTGGCATGGAGCAGCAGGGCGCGGTGCTGGAAGGTGTCGGTGCCCGCGGTGAAGGTGTCCTGAGCCTCACCACGCCTGTTGCACGCCAGGACAGAACATCAGCTTCTGCTCGTCCTGATCCTCGCGGTCCAGCCAAGGGTGCTCCCTCCAGTGCCTGCACTTCCTGTTGGAGTCGGACACCTTCCGGCCGACTTCTTCCCAGGGGGCACCACAGCAGCTCCAGGGCCCCCACGCCTCCCCAAGCAGGGCACCGCCCTGGACGGGGACCCGGATGGCTGGGAGGCAGGAGGCAACCCTCTGGGAGCTGGGGACTGCCTGCCTAGCCGGGCCTGCGGGCCTCACTCCTGCCCTGCCAGCGGGCAGCTGGAGACGGACGAGACAAGGGAGAGCTGCGGGGGCCACGGGGAAGGCTGGGCTCCGGGGGCCTCCGTGAGCGTGGGGGCCAGGCAGCAGGCCAACGTGAGGGAGAGGGGTCCCGCGGCTCCCTCCAAGCCTCCTTCCCCCCAGGACTGCGGCAGGAAAACTGGGGATTGAACCAGGGCCTTTGCACTGAGCTACATCTCCAACCCTATTTATTTTTGATTTTGAGACCCGGTCTCCCTAAATCCCCCAGGCTGGCTGCGAACTCTCCCGATCCTCCTGCCTCAGCCTCCCAGTGTGCTGGAGTTACAGGTGTGTGCCACCACACCTGGCGACAGCCTCATTTTACTGGAAGTGTTCAGGAGATGGTGGGGCCCGGGGGCAGCGACTCTCAGGGCCCAGGCAGGGTCACATCGCAGGGGAGCGGTCCCTGCAGCTCCCAGCGGCCCCTGGGAAGGAAGGCAGCGCAAAGCTAAGCTTCCCTGGCCCCGGGCTCAGGAAGGGGACTTGCTTTCTCCGACACTCTCTCTCCACACACGCGCAGGCGCACACTCACACAACTCACACACCCAGGCAGTGTGGCCCGAAAAGGTCACCAGCTCCCGACGGTGAGCAGCTGAGGCTCCGTGACAGCGACTCGGCCGAGGCTCCACAGGCAGGATGAGAGCTCTGGTCCCTGTGAGACCCAGGGCTCCATGGATCAGGCTGCGTGAAGCCTCTCTGTTCTCCGAGGGCCATGCCGCCCCACCCCAGCAGCTAAGGACGCGCGCACACAGGCACGCATGCGCACACACAGGCACCTGCGCACGCACACAGGTGCCCAGGACCCACAGCCTCAGGTCTGAGTCTCCCCGGGAGCCCCCAGCGCTGCCGTCTGCCAGGCCAGCTTGGAAGGGGCCATGCCTGGCACACACCGAGCTCCTGCCATTGTCCTCGCAGCTGCTACTTCCGGTCCCTTTCCCTGCCCCTTCTCATTCATTGCTTTCTGCTTTTTTTTTTTTTGGTTTCTGTTCCTGGGGCTTGAACCTGCGCCCCCCACACTGAGCTACATTCCCAGCCCAGGCAGGGCTCAAACTCACGATCCTCCTGCCTCATCCTCCCAGAGTGCTGGGATTATAGGCGTGCACCACGGAACTCCTGATCCGACCTTGCCAATAGGCCCCTCTCCTACCATCCTCTTCCCTGACCATCCTCTCCTCCTTTCCAGGGGCTCTGGCCGGAAATGTGCCCTTCCATTCTGGACTCTCCCAGGTCCCGGACCTGCCATCCACAGAACCTGTAGATTCCACCTCCAGGACCCAGGCAACCTGTCCGCTCTTCTCGCAGCACCACCTGGTGGCCTTGTTCTGGTCCCCTTCACCTCTTTCTGCTTAGACCCCCTCCCTGATAGTGTCAGAATCCCTTTCCAGGTCTGTCAGATGCCCCACCTTGCTGAGCCCTCCAGCCGCCACCATGACTCCCAC